AAAACACAAATAGACACACACGATCCTGCCTTTAAGTAACAAATAGTCGAACACGATCCTGCCTTTTAAGTAGCAAATAGCCACTCACGATCATGCCTTTGAGTAACAAATAGCCATACACGATCCTACCTTTAAGTAACAAATAGCCACGCGATACTTTCTTTAAGTAACAAATAGCCATACGCGATCCTGCCTTTAAGTAACAAATAGCCACACCCGATCCTACCTTTAAGTAACAAATAGCCACACGCCATACCGTCTTTAAGTAACAAATAGCCAAACGCGATACTGCCTTTAAGTAACAAATAGCCACACACGATCCTGCCTTTAAGTAACAAATAGCCATACACGATCCTGCCTTTAAGTAACAAATAGCCATACACGATCCTACCTTTAAGTAACAGGTAGCCACACACGATCCTACCTTTAAGTAACAAATAGCCACACGCGATCCTACCTTTAAGTAACAAATAGCCACACACGATCCTGCCTTTAAGTAACAAATAGCCATACACGATCCTGCCTTTAAGTAACAAATAGCCATACACGATCCTACCTTTAAGTAACAGGTAGCCACACACGATCCTGCCTTTAAGTAACAAATAGCCAAACGCGATACTGCCTTTAAGTAACAAATAGTCACTCACAATCCTGCCTTTAAGTAACAAATAGACACACACGATCCTGCCTTTAAGTAACAAATAGCCATACGCGATCCTGCCTTTAAGTAACAAATAGACACACACGATCCTGCCTTTAAGTAACAAATAGCCAAACGCGATACTGCCTTTAAGTAACAAATAGTCACTCAGAATCCTGCCTTTAAGTAACAAATAGACACACACGATCCTGCCTTTAAGTAACAAATAGCCATACGCGATCCTGCCTTTAAGTAACAAATAGTCACACACGATCCTGCCTTTAAGTAACAAATAGCCACACACGATCCTGCCTTTAAGTAACAAATAGTCACACACGATCCTGCCTTTAAGTAACAAATAGTCACACACGATCCTGCCTTTAAGTAACAAATAGCCATACGCGATCCTGCCTTTAAGTAACAAATAGCCATACGCGATCCTGCCTTTAAGACACAAATAGACACACACGATCCTGCCTTTAAGTAACAAATAGTCGAACACGATCCTGCCTCTAAGTAGCAAATAGCATACACTCACGATCATGCCTTTGAGTAACGAATAGCCATACACGATCCTGCCTTTAAGTAACAAGTAGCCAACGCGATAGTAACAAACACGCGATACTTTCTTTAAGTAACAAATAGCCACACACGATCCTGCCTTTAAGTAACAAATAGCCACACGCGATCCTGCCTTTAAGTAACAAATAACCACACGCCATACCGTCTTTAAGTAACAAATAGCTACACACGATCCTGCCTTTAAGTAACAAGTGAAACACACATGCGATCAGCAGCAAATGCTTTCAGATACAATAAACCCCAGTTCAATGCGGACTTAACCCCAAGAAACTGTTGGCAAACGCTCCTAATATTTGTCGATGCGTGGATATTTCTGTACACGAACGTGGCTTCAAATAATTTTTCCCCACGTGATAACTGGAACAGTTCTCTCTGACAATATATGCACAATATAGTTTTTTGATACACTGTATTTGCTTTCATATTGATTGTACGCTTTCTAGGAATTAGTTGATCCTTCCTTAAACCCGAAAACCAAACAGAAAGTAAAACCGAAGTTCACTATACTGGATTAACCACCATACATTATGATAGAAAATTAATGAGGAGTTACTACTGGAACAGTACCAGCAGGTAAGATTATCCTTTCACCTTGATGTGACCAACTGGTAATGAATGAGCAGCGCTCAGGCAGTTCATTTCAATCACTGATTCATGACTTCGAAGACGTAGTGTCATGACATAATGATGACACAATACTTGAATTTCTTCTATGGCCATACTTCCACAGCCATGACACTATACTTGAACTTCTTCTCTAGTAACACTTCCACAGCCATGAAACTATATCTGAACTTCCTCCATGGTCATACTTCCACAGTCATGACACTATACTTGAACCTCTTCTATAGTAATACTTCCACAGTCATGACACTATACTTGAACTTCTTCCATGGTCATACTTCCACAGTCATGACACTATACTTGAACTTCTTCTATAGTAATACTTCCACAGCCATGACACTATACTTGAACTTCTTCTATGGTCATACTTCCACAGTCATGACACTATACTTGAACTTCTTCTATAGTAATACTTCCACAGCCATGACACTATACCTGAACTTCTTCTGTGGCCATACTTCCACAGCCATGACACTATACTTGAACTTCTTCTATGGTCATACCTCAACAGCGATGACACAATACTTGAACTTCTTCTATAGTAATACTTCCACAGCCATGACACTATACCTGAACTTCTTCTGTGGCCATACTTCCACAGCCATGACACTATACCTGAACTTCTTCTGTGGCCATACTTCCACAGCCATGACACTATACTTGAACTTCTTCTATGGTCCTACCTCAACAGCGATGACACAATACTTGAACTTCTTCTATAGTAATACTTCCACAGCCATGACACTATACCTGAACTTCTTCTGTGGCCATACTTCCACAGCCATGACACTATACTTGAACTTCTTCTATGGTCATACTTCCACAGCCATGACACTATACCTGAACTTCTTCTATGGCCATACTTACACAGCCATGACATTATACTTGATCTTCTTCCATGGTCATACTTCCACGGCCATGACACTATACAGAATATCCATTTGCAGCATATGAACAGCCATATCACTATAATTCCACACCCATGACACTATTATCTAAGAGCTTATATCACTATTCTTGATTATTAATGACATTGCATTTATACACCATGATGCTATTCTTTAACAGGCTATGTTACTATTTTAATCATTAATGGCACTGTAGTTAAATAGCCATGACATTATACGTAAACAGCTTATATCACTATACTTGGGCGACTTATATCACTTCGGCAGTGAATGAATGAATGTCTTTATTTCCTCCAAAAGTATATTCGAAGATTACATAAACAAACATCAGTCAGTTACATATATGTACATATGATATGTACAAAGCACGGTTATTTACAACAATGATAGTTCAGAAAGTATACATCAAGGAATCATTTAAAGAATAGATATAGTTCGAAAAATGTAGTATGATGGTTTGCCATGCCGTTTCATGAAGGCCAGGGATGTGAAGTTTTGCACCACAAAACAGTACAATGGCATCTTCATCTTCAAGCATTTCAATTAATGCATATAATCTACGTCCAGTAGGTCAAGTAGCGTCGTATAAAAAAATATATCTTTAGCTCATTACAGATTCACAATGCAAAATGATGTGGGCATCGTGGTCATAGCAGTACTTATTACAAAGCATACATTCTTTTGAGAATTTGGCTTTAGAACCGACTGGTACAGTAAGTTGTATATGGTCTTTATACTCTGGGTACAGATACAATAGAGTGTAAAGTCTATGTAGACTCAGTGTTTGAGGGATTACAGCATATCTGGACATATCCTCTCTAATGGAGAGTCTAAATTTCCATTGATTATACTTCCGTTCTGTACACAACAGAGTGTTGCAAATACTGCGTGAGCTAATATTTAAGTGAACAGTGAGTGCTAAAAATGCACAGGACAGTGTTTCCGTTGATGAATTACAAGCGTTATTACATAATCTTCTAAGGAATAATAATCTACACTTGTCAATGTACCCAACCATTGTCCAGAGACCTAGGTTGGCACATACAGAATCTGTTGGCATACGTCTGTTGAACCCTTGAATACATTTAGTGAAATATCGTTGGGTATTTTCCACCAGATCAATGTATTTGCCATATAGCATAGGCATGGTTTCACAACCATAGAAGCTTGTAGGTAAAACCATTCTTTTCCATATATTAACACATGTACCTGGGTGTAAGTCAGTACTGTTAAGACCCAATGAGCGCAAAGAATTTATGGTTTGCATGGCCTTTTTGACAGTTAGTGAAAACTCTATCATTACAAGACAGATCTAATGAGAGTAGAATGCCACCATATTTTACTGATGGACGTATATTAATAGAGGTGTCGCAAAGGGAGAATGAGAGCTCAGGACAAGATTGTTTCCCTTTCCGAAAAACTACAACAGTGCTTTTCAATGCATTGTATGATAGCCGCCATCTGGAAGCATATTCTGAAACAATATGAAGTGAATTCTGCAGCCCAGACAGATTGGTACTGAACAGTGTCGTATCATCGGCTAACAGGACTGATGGTACATCAATACCATATACACATATACCATTGTTACTAAAGGCTTGTTTATACGGCGAAAATATACACATGTGCAAATGTCGCCGTATAAACAGGCCTTTAGTCTTCATTCAGATAGTAAATCGTTTATGGAGACAAGGAAGAACCATGCAGACAAGACTCTACCTTGCCCTACACCTTGTTTTACTTCAGATGTGTCTGAGCTATTTTCGTGGTACATTACAAAAGAAGAGCTGACCTGGACCTTTCTTTTACTGTGATGAACCTAGGTACCAAATATGAAAAGAATCTAGTGAATGGTTCTTACGATATTCCAATTCGTACATACGGACGTAGTAATTAATACTACACCCCCCGCTTAGCGCTAAAGGCGCGATTGGGGATAATAACAAATGTAAACGGTGACTATTGACATGCTATATTGGAAATGACAGTGTGCATGCATCCGGCGAATATCTATCCCGTTACCTGTGCCATCCATTGACATCAAGGTTGGTCTGTTTGATATGCTGGTCACTGTAGCCGTTTCTAGAAATGTGTAATTCCCAGGTGGGACTAGCTACGAGGAGGTAGTTAAGTTAAAAATGATTTCTTTTCTTTGCGGATTTATCGAAACATTAGCACATTAAATGAAGACAAAACACGCTATGTTGTTTTTAACTGTTTATTTACAGAAATAAAGAAGTTGATTGTATGAACAAACATCAATAATTGAATGAATAGATAAAAGCTCTTTGTTAGGAAATATACAAAACGATATGGAGATCGGAATCGAGTGGTGATGATGATTATGATGATCATGAAGAAGAAGAAAATGATGATGATGATTCGCGTTGTATTCATGGACACTGTACTTCAATATCTTCAGGTGGCCTAGAATTTCCATGATCCACAAATATACAATGTCTGGAATTGTTTGTGTCACAGATGACCCTCTGTCATGCAACGTGAAAGATGTCTCCATAGTTTCTTTGAAGATCACCGTCAGTTGCGATCCATCGTTGTGACGTCACACATCAGGATTTCTAGAAGGAAACGTATTCACGATCAGACCATTGAGATATCGCTCGTTGAAGAGGCCGCAAAAGACGTAGCACATACATCACTGATTTATTTTTGTTCGCGTTAACGCAAAAAAACCTGCGTGTTCTGCACGCAAAGCATTTTGTGTTCTGAGAACAAGTAACCGAAAAACGTACATAAGCTCCCCAAGGAAACAATAAAATAAACATTTTCTCAGCTTATTTGATTTACGAATGATGACAACAATCTCTGAAATGCAAGGAAGTGACTCCCCAAGAGACGTCGCCGCTTTCTGGTTGGGGCATACTCCTTCTGTGCATGCCCAAAAATTCTTGGGCTATGCTATTTAGGAACGCAAAGCTTTTTTTTTCCTACCGCGAACACTGTCATCGTTTATTTACATATGACTACTTATGCTTATTCTCTTGAAAGAGGAAACATTTAATCGCCATGGTTATGACAACGCAGTAAAGTTTCTTCATCTTATGACTGAACATATTCAACGTATAACACAACGTTTTCATCTTATGACCTGACATATTCAACGTATAACACAACGTTTTCATCTTATGACCTAACATATTCAACTTTGACACAACGTATTCAACTTATTAGACAACGTAATACATATTCAAACCATTTGGTGTTGGGACGTCGTCAGGTCCACCATTGCCACCATCGACCACCTGCACAGGACGTTTGGTGTGGCAGTAACACTGGACTTTCAAGCACATCTGGTGCAACCTCTGTCTGTGGTAGAGTGATAAAGCAAGGATGACGACGACAGCTGCAATTGAGACAACAGGTACGACCACAGCCAGACTAGAAGGTGAATTCGTCCTTGATGTAGTCTCTACATCTTTCAGACCAGCTGGAGCTGGAAGCGTTGAAACCCAAGTTGATCCTGTAGTCGAGGTAGTCTTTGCAAGGAAATCTGTGAATAGTGGTCAGGTAATTATATATCATACTGTTCGCTTACATATTGGTGATTAAAAGAAGACAGGGAATTTTATTCCCTTGTGTTAAAATTAGTGAAACCTAGTTAAATTGAATGCCTCGTGACAATCGAAGATATGTGCGAGTGTCGACCTAGGTGACAAAGTAGCATAGTCTTAGATAATATATGATGATAGTGGCTTTGGATTTAACAGTGTTTAGCTGTAAGTAAAACAGTGAAGTAGACATAAGTAATAAGCGTCCAGTTGTGTTTTTCATTTAAGAGATTCACCACCATGTTTTAGGTTCATCCCAAGGCGCATGTTGAAACACACCCACTCAGGTTAATCCGTCCTTTGCGCTGAAAAGCAGGTTAAACAACACACATGTCGGATCACCTCCCCGGGTTAAGCAGTAGAGTTGTTATAATCCATTCATGCTTTCTTGTCTAGCTTAGTTATTTATAGCACACTGTTAATCAATAACTCGGTTAATCCGGTTAGTTGACGGACTGTGTGTAACGTGTGACCAAGAGCCTATTGGAGTGTATATTGCTTCATGCATCACAATTAATGAACATAAATTGTATTTACATCTAGATACATTGTATATATAAATACATCCGATAAAACATTCATAACTGACATATATAAGATCAATATTGATACTAGTAATGATACAGCCTCTCATACATCTCACCTGGACAATTATTGTTGCATTTACTGGCAGTGTTCTGTATCTCCATGTGATCACACACCATGCTACAGTATTCACACATGTGTGAGTCTGGGTCCAGGAACTGACCACGCCCACATGTTGACCTTGTCTCAACCGACACGACCACAGTCACAACAAGAATCCCCAGTAGAAATCGATCCATGATGGAGTGTTTCAGAAGTCCCAGCTCAGCTTCTAATAGCCGGCAACTCGGAAAAGGATCATTTAATCATACGCTATGGATGTGCTTTATGGAAAGGAAGACGAGCCCCTCGCTGTCGGTGGCGTGTGTCCGACAACCCTTGTCGACTCCAAATGAATGACAACGTGTGGAGTATCTTTGTATGACGTAACATGTAGTCACGTGATCTTTAAACGTTTGGTCTGAGAAATTATACCAAATATAGAAAAATGTTTGTCTTAAACATATTCTTGATCTACATCTTACGATAAAGAATCATTGTGATCTTAAACTCACATACCATTTATGGAACTTTTGTTGATGCTCACCCTAAAGCCGCTCGGGTTCATTTACAACACATACTCCTCGGATTTACTGATTCCCTCTGGGTTTAACCCATTCTATATTCAGCAGAAGGGGGTTCCCCTTCACGCCGGTTAAACTCGTGGTGTGTTAGATCGAGGGTACAGCAGATGTGATAAAGGTCAAGGGTTTGTACAGTGCCTGGAATGTATGCACGGCCCACTGTACTTATCACACCATACCATAGAGGTTTATCTCAGTAAAGTACAAATTCAAGTACTCTTGGTGGGTTGGGTCCCATCAGGGGTTCTAATCCACAGCCTCAGAATCAGGCACCTAATTGCGAGCACACAAAGTCAGCCATCTAACACACTGGAAGTAGGACAACTGGTAGTCTAGACCAAGGACTCTGTGTACCCCTCTGACAAATGTAAATTGGCACGGCTCCCACGGCCGAAGCTATGAATACACAATGTCATTTAGAAAGTGGTCAAATGTGACATATGTTATATTTGGGACTACACTTTCTTAGTAACGTACAGATTCTAGTACAAGTTCGAACCGACACACTCAGAGTTGTGTATTCATACAATTGTTAGGTAAACTTGATAAACATCTTTCCTACATATGCCAATTTGATTATCAATGTTGTATATACTCTGGGTACAATGTGTAAAGCCCATTTACGGTGTCCCCTGCTGGAATATTGCTAAAAGCGGCGTAAAACCAAACTCACTCACTCACTGTATATACTCATGTAACACAGCTGATTCTTTGGACCATAAACCTGAGTAATGATTGATGTGAGAGCATTTCGGTGCGAAGGTTGACGAAATATGCTCGTTGATATTCTCAACGACCAGCGAGATGAAGAGAATACATACTGCCATGTCTATTTCATAACACAGTTCATTTTGTCATCTGTGCTCAATAACAATATTCATCACTGGACCGTAACACGCCTTCCATGATACACCTCAGCGCGCGTGAGAAAGTGCGTGTGTTTATTATAATACATATCATCCCTCACAACTTAACAGATAACACGTCACACTTGAATTGATAAACGTTGGCCTTACAAGGATAGGAATTGTCTGAAGTGCATTCGTGTTCAACGCAGAATGCATTAAAACAGCCTTCAGCTACCCCGGTCTGTCCTCGCGTGTGCCTTTATTTGTACAATGTCTGAATCGAAAATGTTGTTAAAAATGTTCAAACCTCAATCCGAAATGGGACAGGAAGTCGCGAGCTTGAAACGCTTTAATCACTAGGTTATCACACCGCCTGTTTCTTTCAGTAACAAGTAGGACACACGGTATACTGATTGTAAGTAACAACTAGCCGCACACGACACTGCCTTTAAGTAACAAATAGTCACACACGATCATGCCTTTAGGCAACAAGCAGCCACACACGATACTGCCTTTAGGTAACAAATAGCCACACACGATCCTGCCTTTAAGTAACAAGTAGCCACACGCGATACTGCCTTTAAGTAACAAATAGACACACACGACACTGCCTTTAAGTAACAAATAGTCACACACGATCATGCCTTTAGGCAACAAGCAGCCACACACGATACTGCCTTTAGGTAACAAATAGCCACACACGATCCTGCCTTTAAGTAACAAGTAGCCACACACGATATTGCCTTTAAGTAACAAATTCCCATACACGATCCTGCCTTTTTAGTAACAAATAGTCACACACGATCCTGCCTTTAAGTAACAAATATCCATTCACGATCCTGTCTTTAAGTAACAAACAGCCATTCACGATCCTGCCTTTAAGTAACAAGTAGCCACACGCGATACTGCCTTTAAGTAACAAGTAGCCACACGCGATACTGCCTTTAAGTAACAAATAGCCACACACGATCCTGCCTTTAATTAACAAGTGATACACACATGCGATCAGCAGCAAATGCTTTCAGATGCAATAAACCCCAGTTCAATGCGGACTTAACCTCAACCAAGTGTTGGCAAACGCTCCTAACATTTTTCGATGCATGGATATTTCTGTACACGAACGTGGCTTCAAATCATTTATTCCCACGTGATAGCTGGAACAGTTCTCTCTGACAATATATGCACAATATAGTATTTGATACACTGTATTTGCTTTCATATTGATTGTATGCTTTCTAGGAATTAGTTGATTCTTCCTTAAACCCGAAACCAAACAGAAAGTAAAACCGAAATTCACTATACTGGATTAGCCACCATACATTATGCTAGAAAATTAATGAGGAGTTACTACTGGAACAGTACCAGCAGGTAAGATTATCCTTTCACCTTGATGTGACCAACTGGTAATGTATGAGCAGCGCACACTATGACGTCACTTAACAACAGAACTGATAGTGGCCCGTCGTTAAGGTTGAGCGGTCCAATATCATTTGCAGCGGACCGCAAATTTCTGATAATGGAAGGGCCGTTTCATTATAATTCCATGTATTTTAGCTATAATGTAAGGGTAATGCTATTTTTGAGGGCATTATCATTTGCAGAAGCCCGAGGTCTTCGCTTAACTGCCCGACGAAGGAGGGAAGTTAATGGAAGACCTCGGGCTTCTGCAAATTAATGGCACTGTAGTTAAATAGCCATGACATTATACGTAAACAGCTTATATCACTATACTTGGGCGACTTATATCACTTCGGCAGTGAATGAATGAATGTCTTTATTTCCTCCAAAAGTATATTCGAAGATTACATAAACAAACATCAGTCAGTTACATATATGTACATATGATATGTACAAAGCACGGTTATTTACAACAATGATAGTTCAGAAAGTATACATCAAGGAATCATTTAAAGAATAGATATAGTTCGAAAAATGTAGTATGATGGTTTGCCATGCTGTTTCATGAAGGCCAGGGATGTGAAGTTTTGCACCACAAAACAGTACAATGGCATCTTCATCATCAAACATTTCAATTAATGCATATAATCTACGTCCAGTAGGTCAAGTAGCGTCGTATAAAAAAATATATCTTTAGCTCATTACAGATTCACAATGCAAAATGAGGTGGGCATCGTGGTCATAGCAGTACTTATTGCAAAGCATACATTCTTTTGAGAATTTGGCTTTAGAACCGACTAGTACAGTAAGTTGTATATGGTCTTTATACTCTGGGTACAGATACAATAGAGTGTAAAGTCTATGTAGACTCAGTGTTTGATGGATTACAGCATATCTGGACATATCCTCTCTAATGGAGAGTCTAAATTTCCATTGATTATACTTCCGTTCTGTACACAACAGAGTGTTGCAAATACTGCGTGAGCTAATATTTAAGTGAGCAGTGAGTGCTAAAAATGCACAGAACAGTGTTTCCGTTGATGAATTACAAGCGTTATTACATAATCTTCTAAGGAATAATAATCTACACTTGTCAATGTACCCAACCATTGTCCAGAGACCTAGGTTGGCACATACAGAATCTGTTGGCATACGTCTGTTGAACCCTTGAATACATTTAGTGAAATATCGTTGGGTATTTTCCACCAGATCAATGTATTTGCCATATAGCGTAGGCATGGTTTCACAACCATAGAAACTTGTAGGTAAAACCATTCTTTTCCATATATTAACACATGTAACTGGGTGTAAGTCAGTACTGTTAAGACCCAATGAGCGCAAAGAATTTATGGTTTGCATGGCCTTTTGACAGTTAGCGAAAACTCTATCATTACAAGACTGGACCAGTGACCCTAGACGAAGTTAGGGACACCATATTGAAGGAAGTACAGAACGTGAAGCATGAGCTTGGAGGCCAGATCAGCTCACTCTCGAGAGAAGTCCGCGATTTAAGCACCAGGTTTACAGATCTCGAAAAAAAACTGTCAAACCTCCATAGTGATCTGGAAAATGTGCGTCACAATCAGGACATAATGTACGAGGACGTCTCCTTGATCTCCGTCCAGATGGAAAACGTAGAGGAGAAAATATCACAGTTCGACAGCGACATCGACAAACTAGAAGCCTTCAGCAGACGTGACAACATTATTGTATACAACTTTGCAGAGGATACAGGGGAGTCGCACAACGACTGTAAGTTCAAAGTACTTAACATTTTGAACAATAATGTAAAGTCTAAGACCTGGATTGCTGATGACGTCATACGATCATATCGACTCGGCCCCCAACGTGTTGACATCTCTAAACCGAGACCGCTCATCGCTAAACTACGCCTCTCTGATGACAAGATCGAGGTTCTGAAATCACGAGCAACACTTAAGAGTAACGGTTATGGCGTGTCCAATGATTTACCCGCCAGACAACGCCAACAACTTAAGGATGTTAGGGCCCAGGGATTGATCGGTTACTTTAAAAATGGTAAACTGATGACTAAACCACGTAATGATGCGCAACCCCATGACACGGGAAGATCAGAGAAAACCAGTCGACAAACGAGGCGAAGTGACATTCATAACAGGAGATAGCAGTGCGGCCAGGCCCAGGATCCTCTCTCACAGGATGGAAACTACTCGCGCACCGGCAACAATAAACTGTCAATATTATCATGGAACATTAGTGGTAAAAAGTTTGATGACCTTGACTGTATAGCTTATCTCAAGTCATTTGATATTGTGTGTTTAACAGAGACATTTATCACTGAGTTTGCGAACTTGTACTGGTTACCTGGATATCAGACATACTTTGTCCCAGCAGTGAAACTATCTTCATCAGGTAGATGTTCTGGTGGTGTTTGTGTTTGTGTTAGACAAGAAATTGTGAACAAGTGCTTTCAACTTAACACACAGATAGACAATTTGATATGTTTAAAATTTCCCAAAGTTACATTTGGTTTAACTAATGACTTCATGTTGTTGTGTATGTATGTTCCGCCTGTAGGCTCTACATTTTACAACAGAAATTATAATTCTGGTTGCCTTATTGATAAACTTGAGGCTTCTATATTGGATCATTGGACTGATTTCACGTCATCACATGTATTACTTTGTGGGGATTTTAATGCTCGCACAGCTAATGAAAATAATCCAATCTTTGAGCAAAGTGTAGACTTTGGTAATGATG